GTATGAGCATAATGTATAACTACTGACTCATTTGGAATAGTCGCTTAAATAAAAGCCACAAACTGATGTTGATGTCAGGAGTAAAGCTCTAAGACACAGGGCTAACTCTGGCAGGAGAAATACTGAAAAGAGCCTCCTTTGCTGTTGAAAAAAGAATCCATCGTCTTTCTCTTTCAGTAATGTTCACACAGCGTTCCCTAACGTGACAACAGCTTGAAAAGAAAGCCTGCAGTAAAATTCACACCTGATTTTCTCCCTTAACCTGTCAAACCTGAACCAAAGCAGGAGCAGAGGTTTGTTTGTTTGTTTGTTTTCCTGAAGCGTGTAACAGGAACAGGTCAGCAGTCTATCCCAGTCCAACACAGAGAGACAGACAGTCATGCACATTGAAATATACAGTACAGCCATTTGTCACGACTAAGTTCATACACGAAAACCGAAACACTTCTGGAAACTACTCTGCAGTGCATGTTGCCACCACTAGAGGTCATACTTTACTATTTTCCTCCTCTAAATTGGAGGACGTGCAGGATTTTCTACATTTGTAGACTTCCTTCTTCATTTAACGCTGAGAATTCACAGCCTGTAGAAACCTTTGTTGTCCAGAGTCAGGTCAAAGGCATTCTGTGAGGATGCTCCTGGTTAAACTGACATAAATGATAAATCTGACTTCATTTAACGCGTTAAAGTCAGAAGTCATGTCGGTTTTCTCAAACACTGGGACGTCTGTTTCTACAGGATGCTAGTTTTGCTTCTTATCAGCTTTTTTTTTAATGAGCTAAATGAACTCTCAGCTATTCATTCATTCATCTTTATGTCAAAATGGCTCAAGTTATATGAAGTAACAACTTAAACGTTAATTAATTTAAATTAGCAAAAGTGACGTATTTACGTCAGGGAACGAGAAAGTTGATTTGACTGAGTTTCTTCACGATGCTTCATCTGCTTCTCTGCCGTGTCAACGTTTTCAGCGACACCTCAACATCTCAGTGGTTGAAGGTTTCTGCTGCATGTGATGGAAGTTGCTGACTGGAGCGTTGAGGCTCACCAGCAACCGTCGGATGAACTGGCATAAAATTTGCAGAAACTCTTTTCATCTCAGAGGATGAATTACATCAAAATTACAGCATGTTCGGTTCTCAGATAATGACATTCCCATCATCCATCCATTATCTATACACCGCTTAATCCTCACCAGGGTCATGGGGGGCTGGAGTCTATCCCAGCCGACTTAGGGCGAAGGCCGGTTCACCTGGACAGGTAACCAGTCTATCACAGGGCTACACTTAGAGACAGACAACCAAGCACACTCACATTCACACCTACGGACAATTTAGAATCACCAATTAACCTCAACATGTTTTTGGACTGTGTGGGAGGAAGCTGGAGAACCCAGAGAGAACCCACACTGCACGGGGAGAACATGGAGACTCCACGTAGAACCGGCAACCTTCTTGCTGCGAGGCAACAGTGTTACCAACTGCGCCACCCTGCAGCCACATTCCCATCAGCTCCAGCAAAATGATGTGTTTTTCATAAGTGATGCTGAAATTCTGTACTTTATTGTTTTCTTGGACATTAGAGGGCAGAAGAAATCCAAAACAAGCTGACAACACACAGAGAAGTGCATAAGCAGACACAGAGCGACGCCGTCATCCCGCTGTGGATGCTGTTTATGTCCGTTAGCTGCAGACGGGCTCTTAAATCACTGGACGCTCCTTTTTCTTCACCAGTTGGTCTTTAAATCCTTTATCTACTCTTTGCTGTTGAATAGGTCGTTTCTCAGAGCTTGTTTGCTGCCTTCTACTTCTGGAAACGAGGTTGACAAGCGCTGACAGTGGCTGAAATGTGAACTAAAACCTAAACTAGGTGATAAAAGAGGTTAAGCATCTCTACAGAGCAGCGGAACTGGATGATCGTTAAAGAAGCTGAATACAATGTACAGACAACAAAGTTATAAAAAACATAATAATAATGGAGTTGTAATGTCTTTTTCACTCTAACATAAACACCATATCACACATATTGACCGCTGGACCTGAGCTCTGGACACAACTTGGCCTCCAGATCTTCTATCTTTATCGACTCCACGTCTCTGGAGCTGGACAGGCTGGCAGCCCTGGTGATCTTTGTGAGAGTTTCCTCATAAGGTGGAGGCAGGTAGACCATGACAAAGACTCCATCTGATCCATCAGAGCTGGTGCTCGTGTGGCGCTCGGCGTTCCTGGTCAGGGAGGAGAGGAACTCGGCGCTGCTCTCAGCGTCCTGCAGGTCCAGAGCGATGATGTTGGCCAGACTCAGCTTACCACGAGAACAACGCTGATAGATCAGACCGACCAGCAGAGCCAGCAGGAGGACAGAGGCCACTGGCAGGACGATATAGACCACCAGCTCCAACTTTCTGTCCTCTCCCATTTCCACCTCATTCCAGCCCTGAGGAGCAATTAGAAAGACATCATGAAAAATCTGCTTTTTGTTCCTCCAGTTACTTCATAATCTCATACATCCATGTATTGAGTCTGTGCAGTAATACAGGTTTACACGGATACCATCTACATTGAATAGATAGATGGATATTCTGTCATTAGTCATTATTTCTGTCCCTGATGACTCCCCAGCTTCAAAGCTAAAAATGCTCAGTAGGTAAAATCAGAAGGACAGGGTCATTTAGGAATCAAAACAGAGCCAAAAAAAAAAGTCTGTCCACTGACAATGTCTATAACATACAGGCTTGATACGTCTGTAAGGGCTCAGGGGTTCCCACCATAGAATCACCAAATACTAGAAGGTTCTTGCTTTGACTTTTTAGGTTCTGCTCATAGAAGGTACAACTCGCTGAAGTCATGCCAAAGAATGAGTTTTATTCATATGGACCAAAAGCATCAGTTCAAAATTTACTGCAAACAGCTTTACAGTCTGTACATCTGCAGAACATCTGTGATCCTGAGGAAACAACTGTTACTTTTGGGAAACAAGTGAAAGCGCAGGATTTGTAGAATCAGAATCAGTTTTACACTGAGAAGTAAAACACGTTGGGTTAAAAGATTTCTTTAGACCCCAGTGTTGCATGTTAACAGACAGTAAGGGTTACAAGACAAGTAAAAGGCAGGTGTAGTCTGTCATGACCCCTCTGAGCCTCAGCTCCTGTCTCTCTGACTTTTCTTTGTTCAGTTTCTGACAGCAGATGAAAGTGAAGTGTATAAAGTAGATCACTTTTTTTTTTTGCAGTGACAGAAAACTTTTCAATTGTCCACCTCCTCGTTGACATGAATGGAGTGACTTTAGGTCTGACTGCATGTGTTCCATGGACATCAGTGCTTGTTAACTTTGACTATACAGTACCTGCACTGCTTCTGGATGATCAGAATGGTCATTTAACAACAGCTCAGTTTTTATGTCCAAATTAATGAATGTGTCTTTGTGGTCATTCTGGTGGTTGCTTGTGTCTCTTTGTAGTCATTTTGTGTTCATTTCAGTGGCGTTTTGCAGGTGAAGCCCTGCTGTCCGATGCTGGTCACCATTTATCTGCATTCGCTGAGCAGGATAAGTGATTGTCATTTAACCCAAATCTTTCTCTTAAAAATTACAACAAAGCTTTAACAAATATTGTTCAATCAAGACGTGACCTTGCAACAGTCATTGACAGTTTCTTTGCACTACACCAGAGCCATGTTGACTGCAGATGGCTTTGCATTAATATGAATGTGTACAGTGTGACCTGGTCTGAGGCTGAGCTGCACCGGCTGCAGACCTGCAGTGCTGCTCATCAAAGAGCATTACAGACCCTGAGTCTGTGTTGGAGCCAGACAAGGAGGGCGATCCTGCACCAGCATGTGGCCGTGCTGCTAACATCCGCTCACAGTGTCCCAAATTCCTCTTGCCTCAGTTTTTCTAGCAATTAGTTAATGCTGCCTGGATGACCCGGCACCCTGCAGACTCTGGTCGTCTGCAGGACTAATTCTCAATCCGTCTGAGTGTCAGCCGGCTGCTCTCACTGTTGTCGTGTTGCGTCCTGACACTTTATGTGAAGCTTATGGAAATCTCTCGGGAAAGAAAAAGTACACAGTCGTGTTTTATGAACGGCGAGCTGGCTGTGATTTATACCAGTGGAATTCACACACTCATGTGTTTCCAGACCGGTTTTCTGTCAGGTGAAGCTTTTGCACCTGCTGCAGCAGTTCAGTGTTCTTAATTCTCATATGCTAATTAGAAAAAATAAAGAGATTTTGAGCACATAAAATAAAGAAGTTCCCTTTGAGCAGGAAGCACGTGGAGTCAGTAGGAGCTCAGGGCCTCTTAATTAGACACGAGCTCCAGTGAAACATGATTTGTGAGATTTTGGAAAGTCTCTAAAATGCTAACAGTGCGCTGTTTTCTATTTTGCTGCGTCTTCATCATCATGGATCACATGTAAAGTCAGGATATTGTTGATGTATGAGTCACACATGAGGGGA